GCCGAAGCCACAAGTGCCATCTCCCGCTGCGCCCGCACCGGCTGCATCGGCAGGAGCACCAGCCTCAAAAGCTGTGCCAGTTGCAAAGCCGAAACCGAAGTCGGGTCCTGTGCCTGCAGCCCCGGCCGTAGTGGATCCCAAAGCTGCCAAGGCTGTGCCACCAAGTCCGGCCAAACAACCTGTCCCCAAGCCTTTGGACGGCAGCACAGCGAAAGCAGTAGCCGCAGTAGCCGTCGCCAAAAAAGCGGATGCACCCAAACCGGGTGCCTACCCAGAAGCAAAGGCGGCACCGCCTTATGCACCAGCAAAAGTGGCTTCTGGAACTCCAGCGGCAGCCAAGTCTTCGTCTTCGGACCCGAAGATCATGGCTTTTCCAGGCAAGCCGAAGGCTCCGCCAGCCAAGGAGGGAAAGGCAGGAGCGCCCAAGCAAGGTCCCAAGCCAGGCTGCTTAGTCGAAATTGGAAGCCGTGGCGCTGATGTGATTTCTATATCGTGCTGAATTGTGCTCACCTCTTGTTTTCATTGCACCACACACCGAGGTCAGCCCGCGTTCAAGCCGCCTGCCAAGGTGCCGCCCAAGGCTGTGGCATCGGAACCAGGGCAGGTCCATGCCGTGGCAGTGGTGGAGGGCCCTGTTGCCGATGCGGTTGCAGCGGCTGCTGTCGCAGAGGGCCATGTCGCCGATGCTGCCGCAGAGGGCCCTGTCGCCGATGCAGCGGCGGTACGGCATTCAGAAGTCGCTTTGCAATGAGTAAAGTTAAAGCATCCGGTGCGTCCTGGGGCGGTATGGTGCTAGGAGGGTGTATAGTAGTAGTAGTAGTAGTAGTAGTAGTAGTAGTAGTAGGTAGTAGTAGTAGTAGTAGTAGTAGTAGTAGTAGTAGTAGTAAGAGTAGTAAGAGTAGTAAGAGTAGTAGTAAGTAGTAGTAGTAGTAGTAGTAGTAGTAGTAGTAGTAGAAGTAGAAGTAGAAGTAGAAGTAGAAGTAGAAGTAGAAGTAGTAGCAGTCGTAGTAGCCGTAGTAGCCGTAGTAGCCGTAGTCGTAGTAGTAGTAGTAGTAGTAGTAGTAGTAGTCGTCGTCGTCGTAGTAGTCGTAGTAGTAGCAGTAGATAGTAGTTATAGTAGATAGTAGTTATAGTACATAGTAGTAGTTATAGTAGATAGTAG